AATCCCCGACGGCCCCCAACATCCCTGTGCTTCCCAACATCCCTGTGCTCCCCAAAATCCCTGTGCTCCCCAGCATCCCTGTGCTTCCCAGCATCCCTGTGCTCCCCAACATCCCTGTGCTTCCCAACATCCCTGTGCTCCCCAGCATCTCTGTGCTCCCCAAAATCCCTGTGCTCCCCAGCATCCCTGTGCTCCCCAGCATCCCTGTGCTCCCCAAAATCCCTGTGCTCCCCAGCATCCCTGTGCTCCCCAACATCCCCCATGGTCCTCAACATCCCTGTGCTCCCCAAAATCCCTGATGGTCCTCAGCATCTCCATTGGTCCCCAACATCCCTATGTTTCCCAGCATCCCCCATGGTCCCCAGCATCCCTGTGCCCCCCAGCATCCCCCATGGTCCCCAACATCCCTGTGCTCTCCAGCTTCCCCAATTGTCGCCAGCATCCCTGTTCTTCCCAACATCCCCATGCTCCCCAATATCCCCGTGCTCCCCACCTGTCTCCATGCTGGGCTGTCACAATGGATTAACATGGTGATTTTGCCCAGCTGGTTGGGATGTGGTTACCCAGGAGAGTGAGGGTTTGATGCTTTCTGTGCTTAAATTTGGCCAACAGAATAAAAAAAGGAGACCCCAAGTAAGTTTGTCTCATCTCCAGCCTCCCCTCTCTCATCCACCTCCCCTGAGCAGGCAGAATTTATGTGCAGCAGTGAGTTTGAGTTTGTTCAAGTGTCCCCAGGCAGATGTTTCTACCACAGGAATGTCAGCTTGGCCTCAGGAATTATCTTTTGTGTGTATTTGAGCAGCCACGGAAAGAGCTTCAGCCTTCCTCAATCTTGTTCCAGTGATGCTGTCACAGGGTTAAATGTGATTTAGGGCCAGTGCTGATAGTGTCAGAAGCTCCTCGAGCTGGAGCAGGAGAATTCACCAAAGGGTTTAGGATCTTGCACAGTTTCCCTCTGCTTCCCTTTCTCTGCTCACATTCCTGGCTTGGTGCTGTTTTCTCCCTGCTCCTGTGGGAGTAGGAGCTGGACGAGCACCATGACCATGGATCAAGGCTGGGGTGATTTGGTGATTTTGGGGGGGAAAATGAGGCAGAAATTCTGGCTGTTCCCAAGGTGTGACCACCTCAGCCTGGGGAGAAGGAAGGGGATGGGACGCTTCAGCTGCTGCCTCTGGTGTCTTCGCTCACTGCTGACTCGTTTGTGGGTGAGCAGCAGAGTTTCCAGGGAATTGTGTACAGGCAGGAGCTACCCAGGCATGCACTGGCAGCCTGTGAGCAGTGGGCTGCCCCAAGCCAGCAGTGCAAGCCATTGGGAGCATCTGAACAGTGTGCCAGGGTTTTTTGTTATTATTATTGTTGTTATTATTATTTAGAGTTGTCTTTTCACCAGTTCCTCCCAGAGCATGTGTGCAGACAGACAGCAAACCAGCACATGTCAGTTTACCAGAAGCAGTTATTTTAATTCATGGCCCTTTCTCCAGCAGTCAGCAGGATGCCTTATTCATTTGCCAGCAGGAGGGTAAATCTATTTCAAAATGATTGAAATATTATGCACAGCTTGAATGAATGTTTAAAATAAATACAGTAGAAGAAACATGTTGTTTGTGAAATGAGAAGATAAATTAAGTTTAGTGCAGACACATTGTTCCCAAGCCTGGCTGCTTGGCTTTGCCAGGGAAATCCTTTAGGCCTTAATCCAGCAGGAATGGTCTGTTTGCTCTCCTGAAGGGGCAGGACTTTCTCCTTAGACCTTTGCAGCATAAGGACCAGGCTGTCGATGGGGTATCCTGGTTTGTGGGACAAAGGCAGGATGGGCAGCCAAGGGAGCAGGGACCTGCAAGGCTTGGGCAGAGCTGGAGCAGCAAAGCCCTGTCAGGGGGAAGAACCCAAACCCATCCTTTGTCTTCCAGTATCAGCTCTGTGGCTCCCTCCAGCCACTTCTGCTCAGCAAGATTAAATTTATTTTCATCCTCTTAACTGAACTTTCTTTTAATGGCAGCAGGGGTGACAGCCCCCAAAATAGCTTTCCTCTGGAGTGGCCTGTCCCTGATAACCTCCTTCCTGGCAGGACCTTTATCTGCCCAGTGACAAACAGCTCTCCCTGGACAGCCAGAGGAAATTCCACTCATTGCTGTGCTGCTGCTGGGCTCTGCCCCAGCTCTATCTGCTGCTGCTGTGGGGCTGGCAGGGCTTCCTGGGGTGACAACCAGCAGAGGCTAACTCTGGGATTCCCGGTCAGCTCCCAGTATGATCCCGTTCTAAGGGAGCCTGACAGCTCAGCCATGGCCCTGTCAGCTTTGGATCCATCCCCCAAATTTCCTCTGCTCCTGGTTCCCTTCCAGTAACACCAAAACACACAAAAGATCAAAGCTGTCCTTTTCCTGGTGCAGCTCCCTTGTGCTGCAGGTTCCCAGGCAGGTGTGACTGTCAGGAAGGGGAGCACCAGGCAAACACCCCTGCAGGGGTTCAGGTGTCTTCTCTTTGAGCTGTACTAGCACTTCATACTCCTGCAAATGGACCAACACATCCCCATGCTCACACTGCAGACACAGGGTGAAGAGTTCCATCACTGCCTCAGCAAGAACTTTGAGGTTCAGGATTTTGATGAGGCTTTCCAAGGGCAGTACTGGAAGTGCATTTTTTAGGGACCCCCTAAGCTTTGGAGGGTGTGCACCACCTCTTGGACAGGCACTGCAGTGTTTGGTTTATTTTCCCCAGTAGCACTAACATCCCAAACCTGTACTTAAAGCAGGAATATTCCCTGATTCCTCATTGTCCTGCTAGGTTTGACCTTTCAAATGGATTTGCCTTGGACTTGCTACTTTTGTCCAGTGGGGACACATTTTCTGCTTCTATTAAAGGCATCTTGATCTTCTTGGAGGTGTAAGAGGTGTAGCTTGTAAGCCTTGAGCCCTGACAGTGCCACTTTCTGGGGGCATTACACCCAGAGAACTGTACAGGAAGCCTTGGGAGGAAATGCAGCAGCAGCTCTGGAAGGATGGAGGAGCCTTTTGGCTGCTTTTTCAGACCACTCTGGGACTCTGGACACATCATTTCACTTCCCTGCTCCCTCCGAGATTTCTGTGCTTGGCCAGTGATTTCTTGATTTTTTTGGGGGGGGTCAAAACTGTCCTTCAAGCTGATGATGTGAGGGGCATTAAGGTGCTGTGGTGATTGGAACTGTAAAGTGTTTTTTACACTGTTGGTTTGCAAGGCTGCAATCCAGCACAATTAAAATATCAGGCAGTGTCTGTGAGTTACCTCAAGGGTCTCACTCCTGCTTCTCTTTTCACAGTTCTGGCCTGGTGCAGCCACTTTTGGTAGCTCTCATGTGTGCTGAGAGCAGAACTTTGTGTGCCGACCTTTCCATCCAGAGGTGGAGAAAGGTGTGACAGCGGTGCACTGAGGAAAGATTGAGAATTGGTTTTTAAAGTGCTTTAGTGACATAATTGTTCATAACATCGCTCTCTGTACAATGTCAGTGTTTATGTTCTGTGTTACAGATGGCAAATCAGACATGCAGAGTAAACTGAGTTGTTCTGACCCAAGAGAGGAGTTCACACCACACTGGGACTGGGACCTGAACACTCCTGGCTCCCAGAATTTGATTTCCATACTCACACCGTGCTCATTTGCAGCACAACTTTCTCTTGGCATCATCTGACCTGCTGAATTCTCCCTTTCTTTTAAAACCACTTAGTCCAGCAGCTTTTAACACTATTTCCATTTTACCACAGCATTGAAAATTGATGAGCTGAGTTACATCACTGGGAAGAGTTCCCAAAAACTCTTTGGTCTGCCACTAGAACTCTCAGAAACAGAATGAATTGGGGAAGAAAAAACCTGACTGTGAGAAAGCAGAAATTCACTTAAAAAGTACTGAAGCTTCTTGTTTCATTTATGTCAAAAATCATCCCCAGAAAATGTTGAGCACTACTCAGCTCCCACTGAGCAGAACTTGTTTCCTGTAGGGATGCACGTTTGGCTGTGGGGAAATGAACAGTTTGGAACCCAATCTGAAGCCAAATGTTGGTAGGAGGCTCCTGGGCTGTGTTTTTGTTTGAACAAAACCTTTGTGCTTCAAAGGGGAAGATAATCTCAGTTTGCATTGGGGATTTTTTGGAAGGATACATCCAGAGCTGAGAATTTCCTCTGTTCTCCCAGTGGAGTGCTTTCTGCCAGGTGTGAAGGAATCAATGTGTTCTCCATCTCCCCACCTTTCTGGAGAGTTGTCTTCACGTGTTTCACTATTCCCCATCCAGGCAGCTCCTGGGGCAGTGAAGAGCAGCTGAAGGCTGGGGCACTTGGGAATAAGCTGCAAAATTTCTTTTGTCCCAGAGTGGGTCTCGGCTTCTCCTTGGTTTTCCAGATTTCATTTCCATTTGGCTCTTTGCCCCTGAAAAGAATCAAAGGCTTCCAGAGGGGAGAAGTCACATTTTGGAGTTGGAGATGCAGTAGCTTGGCCCAAGCTCTGTCTTGTCCATTTCCTAAGCTTGTCCCATCCCTTACTTCTCTGTCCTGCAGCTGTAGCAGCCCCAAAGAAAAGAGGGAAGGAATTGTTTCAGAACATTCAAAGGTGCTCAAGTTGCAGGGCCAGAGTGTCTGTTTGCATAGAGGACTTTGGCAACCAGAATTTGTTTTGAGGTTTTGGCTCCTAAGTCTCTTAGGTTTCCTTAGCTTTGCCTTCTGTCTCACCTTTTCACATTCTCCTTCCAGCAGCCATGTATTTTTAACGTCCTAAAATTTCTTTCCATCTTTTCAGGCTCACCTTTGCATGCCCCTGAAAACTTCGGTGAGTTGGACATTCCAACATAGCAGCTTCATTAAATGTCCCATATATATAAAAATATAAATTCTGTGAAATATATATAGTGTAGTTAAATAATGATCACTGGTCTGCTGCTCCTCTTTGATTGGAGGCTTTTGAGAAAACAAATGCTGGGTTAGAGCGAACCCAAACCTGTGTTTTTGTTTTGTTTTACTGAATTATTTATTAATCATCTCAAGACTTCATTCTCTCTGAAAACTCAGTCCCACGAATACCTGGCACTACATTTTTGTGTCGCTGGTTTCATTGACTTCAGACAAGACAAAGCCAGGGTTGTCATAACCTTTCTTCTCTTTGGCTTTGGCTTCCTTCTCATTGTAGAGACAGAAGGCACAGTGAGGGGTGTCCACTGCCACTGTCTTGCTGAAGTTCTGGAAGTCCACTCTGTATTTCCCTTCTTTGGTCTTGGACACGATGGGAGCGAAGCGATACCCCCAGAGCACCTCCTCGGGGATGTAGGACGTCCTCACCTGGCAGGTGGCACTGGTGGCCTCCACTGTGCCATCCAAAAACACCACCAGCTCAAAGTCCTGCTGCAGGAGGGTTTCTGCTGCCATGTGGAAGAAGGGGCTGTTCTTGTCTATGATGTGGTAAATGGTGAGGGGCGAGATGAAGAAGAGATTCTCGTTGCCAGCGTCCACCACGAACTCGATGTTGACCTGGTCCAGGATGATGGTCTCGCCCTCGGGGGTGATGGTGCTCTTGAGCAGCTTCCCGTAGATGTGGCTCCCGATCAGCAGGCTCTTGCGCAGGTTGGCCACGCGGATCAGCAGGCACAGCTTCCCCCCACGCTTGCTGATGACGGCGTTCTTGCTGAACGTGATGGTCTTGGCCCGGTTCTTGGATCTGGAGATCTTGGCCAGGATGGCCCCGCACATGAAGGAGTTGATGATGACGCCCAGGATGGACTGGAAGATGAGCAGGAAGATGGCGGTGGCACACTGCTCCGTGACACACCTGAAGCCGTAGCCGATGGTCACCTGGGTCTCCAGGGAGAAGAGGAAGGCTGAGGTGAGGCCGTTGATGTTGTCCACGCAGGGGGTGTGGTTGATGGAGGGGTTGAACTCGGGCAGGTCCTTGTGGATGTAGGCCACGACGTACCAGAGCAGCCCAAACAGGAACCAGCTGCCCAGGAAGGCCGAGATGAAGATGGTCATCTTGTACCTCCACCTGAGGTCCAGGATGGTTGTCCAGATGTCGATCAGGAAGACAAACCTGGACTGTTCCACGTTGCCAAACTCGATGTTGCACCTTCCATCCTTGGAGACGAGCCTGGCGCGGCGCCGGCTGCGCTCCCGGAGGTGGCTGCTGAAGCGTTCCCGCAGGTAGCTGAACATCCCCGCTGCTGACAGCGCTCTGCAGGGGGACAGAGAACCACCAGCGGGGTTAAATCTCTGCCTGCAGGCCAGGGGGAAACTCTGACACAAGCTCAAGATGCTTGTTCAGGACAAAGTTATATAATTTGCATATTTTCCCACAGTTGGTGGGGAAGAGTTCCAGTAAGCTGGTGAGGAAACTCAGGGTTCCTTGCCTAAGGAGCATTCCAGCAAAAAATAATCATTTAGGCTTGCTCAATAAACTCTGAGTCAGTCAAGTGTTAATATTGTCCTGTGCTCTGTTGTGTAAGTGAAGCCTGGAGCAGCAATAACTCCATCGTGGGCATGTGTGGGGAAACCTGCAGAGTTTGGAGAACTTTCTGCCATTTAGGAGATGAATCCTGGCCTGCTGATGCAGTTTTGTGTGTAACTCGACATTAGGAGACCCTGGATGAAATGTGGATAGGAAATTTAGGGACAAAGGGGAGCAGATGCAGAAGGCTTTATTAAGGCCAGACACACAGTTATTTTTAGCGTGGTTAGAGATGGGGTTTGGATGTGTGAAATTCAGACCCTGGAATCACACTAGCATCTCAAATAGGATTATTAAGTGAGAACAAAAGAAAAGATTAAACTCCAGCAGGAAATTTGGGTGTTTGCTCACCACAAAGGTGATGCTAAGGCTAAGAATGGATTTTGAAACTTATCCTTTAAAGGAAGGTGTAGCTCTGTGTCCCTCCTATTTTGTCCTTTATGATTGACCATGCTAACCAGAGGCACAGGAAATAAGAATCATTGATGGAGAAAATGCTGCAGATGTGTTCAGACTGGAATTTGGATCAACCTACATCTGAAAAATTCCCAGTCATGGAGTTGCTCAGACACACAGATGTGGGGAGAGGCTGATGCCCTGCAGAGTCAGGCACTGCCTGGGATGTTCATGGACCATCCTAGGGCCTGATTTTGACCCAAAACTTAGGAGTTCTTAGAAATAATTGATTTCTGGGTTTATCAGCCTTGAAGCATAAAATGTGTTTGATTGCCAGAAAGGATGTTGGATTAGTGCACAGTGAGCCTGCCCTGGATCCATGTGTGCCTTTTTATTTAGCTTTTGTTGAACAAAATCCCGCTGGAGTGGCTGAATGAGCTGTGTGCTGTGATCGTGTGCCCTGGGGCAAAATGCTGCAGCTTCCAAACAAAGTAAGAACTTGAGGGGAAAATATTCCCAGTGCTGACTCACACGGGGGTGTTCTGAGGAGGAGAATCCCCAGCCACACAGAGTGAAGGCTTGGGTTCCTGCAGCTGCCATGGGGATGCTTCCTTTGGGAAAACCTGTGAGTTCACCTGGAATCAGAAATCGAGGGCTTTGTGTTTCTATTGTTGCTTTACCTTCCCAGTAGGAAGGGACAGTAAAACAAGCCTTAGGAATGACTTTGTTAGAGCAAGCTAAAGATGCTACACCCTTATCTCAAACCCTGCTCCTATCACCAGCCCTCCCAGGCTTCCTTTTGGTCAGCAGAAAAATGCTTGGGCTCAAATTGGTGGCAAGTGGACTGCCCATATTTTGCTTGATTTCATGTGCTTAAGTAACTGTGGCAAGAGCTGGTTACCTCTCCTAAGGTCTAATGTCATATATCCAAAATGAGGATAATCCCAAGTGAGCAGTCAGACACTGCTGGGAGTTTACTGTGAAATTTGTCTCATTTAACTGTAGCCATTGAAACAGTGAAGAAGTGTGTGTGCCAGTTGTGCAGCTGACACTAGAGAGGACAAAGTGCCCCCTCTGAGGGTCCCCTTGCCACCACAACAGCTTTATGAAGTCAAGAATTGCTGTTTGGCATTGTCCCTTTGCCCTGTAATATTAACTTAGAGAAGCTGCCTGATACCTCAGCTGGCTAAAGCAGTAATTCTCCCATCAGACCCAGTCAGAGGCACCAGAAAACACCTTCACATGTGTCAATCAGTAGCAAAGAGAAAATATTAAATTATCAAGGATGGAGTCTAGGTACAAATTAATTGCATTTTGTAAAGGCAGAAGTAATTCTATTATTTAATGTCCTTGTTAGTATCAGCAGCCCTAAGAATAAACTTATTTCTATGCCTCTTACAGCTGCCTTCTTTCTGCACTTGGTCTGAATCACCTTCCTCCCCTGCTCAATAAAAGAAAGAAATGAAGGTCACTTTGTACTGTACCTTTTCACCCTTTTGCTGTTGCGTTTACTGCTTGCAAATAGAGCTGAGAGAGGTTAAACTTTAAACCTGTATTTGAGAAAAGGGGAATGAGGTCACATCTTCCTGAACAATTCTCAATTTGTATTTTCCTGATGCACTTTTAATATGTCCATGTTAATGCATAGCTTGAGCAGAAATAAAATATTCCTGTGTAACACATGATTCCAAGAAATTTTCCAGGACTTAGACTTACTGTGCAAAAGCACCCAACTTCAGCTGGCTCTTGTGTTCATTTTGTCCTTTTCTGCAGGAGTGTGAACAATGGCAGGGTGAAATTTTGAGATGCCTCACCTTGTACATGGTGAGCTGCACATGCACTCCTTGGGCATAGAGAGGCTCCCAACCTCAGGGAATAGGTGGGAAGGGGAGAAATCTGCAGGAATTCTGGTTTCTAATCTGCCCATGTCCTCACAGCAGGGGTCACGATAAATTAAATCACAGTTCTGATCCAGCCTCCACTGGAAACCTGCTGGAATTTGAGTGAGGATCTGGACATGCAACTGGAGAGATAACAACCACAAAAGAGCTGAGAACAAGATGCTCAGCCTGGATCCTTGAAAACAGGTCCCCAGCTCCACCATTCTCCCCCTGCCTCTTTAAATCACCCATGGCCTCTTCTGAGGCTCCCTTACAAGCCCTGCTTAAGCTACCCCCGAGCAGATCAAAGAGGCAGAAGAATTACACCTCTCTTCAGGCAGGATGACAAAGGAATTCTCCTTTCAACAAATCCCTTGCCCCCACACACAGCTGAAATGTGTTGATTTGCTTCAGCAGGAGAAAAATTCCCTCCTGGATAAGCATGCTGTGAGTATATCACCGACTGTCTGGAGAAGATTATATAAAGCAAGTTATATAATACAGCAATTAAAGGCCTTTTAATTCACATCAGCAAAGGTGTCCAACTACATCCTAGCTAATGTTTACCAGGATATATTTCCTGTTGGGCCCAAATAAACAGGGCACTGCTGTCTGTCTAGAGTGTGGAATTTTGTGTTGTGGGATGTGGGGAAGGTGCTGCTGTCCCCAGGCATGAAGTGTTTATAGAGGGTGCACTGCTCAAGTTCCTTCACAGGGGGATATTCACCAATTAAAACTCCATGAATAAACATGACCTGTCAAGGTTAGCTGTGGAAACAAGGAGGCTCCTCTTCCCTGGCCCAGTCTTGTATTTCCCAAGAGGATCACCAGAGGAAGCAGAAACTTCCATGTTTCCATCCTCAGCTTTCCAAGCACTCCAGCAGTGCCTCCACCCCAAATATCTGAGAGCTGTATTTCTGCCTGTTCTCTGCAGCCCTGCAAGTGGATGACACCAATCCTTGCAGTTCCTGAGCAGCTGGAGCTCTCTGCTCCCTCAGGAATGTTATTGAGGAGTAAATAACATCTCTTTGCTCTTACTTCCTTTCAACTGGTCTGTTTTGAAAATTTTTGGATGTGAGAGATAATGACATTCAATTGTTCCTTGAGTAAGTTTTAGTCCATGGAATTGGCTTTAATCCCAGCCACGTGCAGCCCTTGAGGAGATCAGAGGGGAAGAAGGAAGAGGTGTTGAATGTTTGATGGGGCCTGACAAGAACAAGGTTCCTTCTCCTGCTCTTTCCCTGAATTCTGGTGTCTGTGGCTCCACACTCCCTCCCTCCCTGGCAGCAGTGGGGGTGGGAGCCAGGCTGGCACTACAGGATCATTAGGGGGAGACAGAGCAGCTCCCTGAGCCTGCACTCTGCTGTAGAAATACATCTTTGTTAGGGATTCAGAGGAAGTTCTAAGCAGCTTAGGTAGAAGAAAGGGGATACAGAGTTAAAGGATTATATTTTTTTTCAGTCCTGTTCAGTTCTTTGCAAAATTCAGATCTTTTTCAGTCCTTTCTGTGTTTTTCTTTTTGTTGAACTTTCTCTGAACAAAGTATGTGAAATATCCAATTCCTAATACCTTATCAAATCCGTTTTTATGAGAATAGCAAACTCTAACACTTACTCTCATGGTGTGTTATCTGCTGGCTGCTTCACTAGTGAGCCCTTTGGGGAGGAGAGGGATGGGATGGGATGGGATGGGATGGGATGGGATGGGATGGGAT